TATATATACTTACCTGTCCTATTCGCTTATCAGTCGGCTGATTCAACTCCTTGTAGACCGTAAACACGTTGTGATGACATGTGAAGCTGAACACCACAATAGGTATAGCACGTATCACATCCTCGTGCGTAGGGGCATGGCTCGGTGTTAGTATACTAATACCATCGTCTGTCAAAATGTGTGGTGTGCTGGCGTGTGCTTCTGAGGGAACCCCGGACGTCCCGTTAAGCACCAAATACGATTCCGGGACGGTCAGTGAGCCGGGTAGGTATACAAAGTAGTTGGCTGTAGAGGGGCGAAGCAGGAATGTCAGGGCTTTTAGGGTTTGAGGGTTAGGTGTTTAGTTTAGGTTTTGTCTATGGCTTAGATGAATTCACGGCTCAAGGTTCATATTAAGTGTGTCGATTGGATGTATATACCAGGCCAGTGAATCTATACAGTGGCCCGCATAAATCTATAACTTTGATATCCCAAGCGTAAACTGATCCCGTGTATATACATATATATATACTAAAATCGGCCTGATTCTTTTTTTTTGGTTTTCTCTGATTGGTTAAGGTGTTGAATGTGCTTGACCAGTACAATAACAACGCTATAATATACAATAGTACACATCCATTGGTACCATACTTCTACTCCCAATCATCCACATCGTGTAATCTATCTATAGCGTTATCTATATATAGCGTGATCTATTTAAAACTCCCCGGCTTACCGATGGCGAGAAGCAAAAGTGATCTAGCATCATCCCGGTCGAACTACGAATATTACTGTGAACTTATCACGGGGACACTCAGACACCCGCAGTAGGACCCACCAATACAAAATTAAAATCTATTTTTAGCACAACCACGCATAGACCACTTTAGTTATAGCTGAATCATATTTTACATTACCAATTCTATATATAGCTCAAGTTTCACCCACGTCCGGAGGACAACCCAATCAGACCTTGAAACAATCAAATTTGGACAATTCAATTTGGACATGTGATTAATTCTACGAAATATTAAACTCCTGACACAGAATCACCAGCTCCTCCCTCGAATCTATTTATAGCCCGTGCTCTATTTATAACAAACCTGTCATCTACTTACAAAAATCTATCAACTATTTATAACAAACAAGCCAATCTACTTATAGCCCATGTTCTATATATAGCTAACCTACAATCTACTTCTAACAACCCATCATCTGTATATAACAAACCCGTCATTTATTTATAACAAATAATCCAATCTATTTACAGGCCGTGATCTTTTTGTATTTAGCCTTTCATCTACTCACCACAACCCATCATCTATATATAACAAATCATATATCTATCTAAAACTAATCAGCGTACCGTGACAACGCCCCTAAGTGCCTGACTAAACCAAAGTAACATCACAGAGATGCATACTGTGATCAGGACTTTTCTCCTGTTTACCTGTAGAGGTATGACAACGCAGCACGCGAGTCAATCAATTTTTAGACCAGAATCTATTTATAGCTCACTCGCACGATGATAACACGCTGAGACAGCGAGTCTGCCCTTACCAAACTGGACATGGGGATGTATATTGAAAAAACCCCCAATTATCTACACTGGTCTATTTTCAGAATTAAACTGACCTATTCTTACACTGGTCTATTTTCAGACTTTAAATATCCTGATAGCTCACTCGCATACCGACGACTATCAGTCATATGAAGTCCACCAATCCAAGCTGAACACGGAGAAGTACATTGAAAAGAGAATAAACACATCTATAGTTCTACACTGGCAACCCAACCCGTCACAATCTAATAAAATCTATTTTTAGACCACAATCTAATATAATCTATTTTAAAAGACCATAATCGAATCGAATCTATTATTAGACCACAATCTAATATAAACTATTTTTAAACCACAATCTAATATAATCTATAAATAGACAACAATCTAATATAATCTATTTTTAGACCACAATCCAATAAAATCTATTGCTAGGCCACAATATATATATATATATA